AACGTGGGGAAAACTTTTAGCGCTAATTACAAACTGCTGTACAAGTGTGTCAAAGCTGTCGTAAGGTAGTGTAGGGAATTCCTTCAGTCCGGACGACTGATGGTCACAACTAGAGCAGCCATGGAAATAGCAAACGAGTTGCGGATGCAATAAACTTCCACATTTAAGAGAGTCATGCTTTCAGACCTTCTCCCAGCTTTTGTTTTTCCGTCTCAGGGCTCACCCACATCACTTATGCCACCGAAGCTCAATTGCAGAAGCTGAGGTCTCTGCGCAACCACAGTTCCCCGGGAGTCGACACCATTCGCCCAGAGGCACTGGTAGTAGCAACGAGACAATTGGCACTACATTATGCCTAGTTCTTTAAACGCTGCTTAGACCAGAACCAGATTCTTACCATGTAGAAGATTGGAATAATTACTCCGACTCACAAATTCGGATGCAGGACTAAGCCCTCAAACTACCGCCCAGTGTCCTTCTGTATTGTCCAAGGTCAAGAAATCCATCGTTGCTAATGCCTTAGTGTGTTTTCGAGTAACTTGCCCCATTATCGCTCTGCAGCAACACGATTTTCGTCGACAGCGAGCATACAACGAATTTATTAATCGCATGGAGTAGTTGGACCGAGTCAGCTGACGCTGGAGAGGCGGTTGCTGTGATCTACCTATATTTGTTCAAGGTATTCGATCGTTTAGATCAACGGTCACCAAACATTTTACACTGCGGGCCGAAGGAATAGCAAAATGACTGACGCGGGCCGGATAAGTGGAAAAATAAGTCACTTGGGCCGGAATTCTGACAAATTCGTTAGCGCATGCCGCATACTTTTTATTCACCATAGTTGCAATCCAGAAAGTAAACTGAGAAAGTAGACAACGTAAGGTGACACTCGGCAACCGCTTTACTTTTCTTAGTATTTTTATTGAAAGGTGGAGTACAGGAGATCTGAACATGAAAAAGATATTAAGTTACAAAACGATAAAAATCATATTGAAATCCGGACAAACAGAGGATTTATGTTCATTGGTGTAACTGCTGTTCACCAGGAGCACACGGATATCTCATGGATACCTTCAATAATACATCACATCACGTATCTTTTCCGCCAGAGCCAAATCAATAAAAGATGCTCTGACTTGACACCCGTGTTAGTTGCAAGCATTTGGCATCACAATAACGTACGAAACACAATTATTTGCGGTTCAAGATTAATTGTATACTAATAATTTGCGATTCTTTCCAAATACTCAACAAGTATGGCTTCAAAGTGACGTATACATAATCTCTTAGTGTTCTACTAAGTGGTATTTCATATGACGCTTCAATGGAGCTGATCAACGGAAAAGTGCAGCACAAAGTGGTGAGGTAAGCAGAAACTCGAGAGGATACAGAAATGAATTGGTTTCATGCGTGACCTATCACATCAATGTTCCGATGATATGGGCTTATAAATATTACGGCAGTTCGGTGTCACAAGAAACAACCGTGATATGGCTCACGTCAGTGTTCAACAGCATAAGGTAAGGGACAACACGAGATTCAGTGTCAACTGTCAGTTGTATTGCAGTCTCTTGTTCCATACGCTTTACCAAGCAGAATCGGGTACAGTCGGCGGGTCGGATGAGTTGACATCGCGGGCAGCTTTCGGCCCGCAGGCCGTAGTGAGGTGACACCTGGTTCAGATAACCGGATTCTCCTTCCCATGCTCCAATATCACGGGATCGGTGACCCACTTTTGTGCGGGATCGCCAAAATACTCCCATAGCGACAACATTTTGTCAGAGTCCAGAGTTCCTTATCTGACCCCATAACAATCAAGCCTGGTGTGTCTCAGAGCTCAGTACTAGAACGACAATTGTTTATGGTATTTGTCAATGACCTTGCACGGACAATCGCTACAAATGTACTGCTGTTTGCTGACGATATGATGATATGGACAGGATTCAGGCGGATTCCGATCAGAATTCATTTCAGTGTGACCCAGACGTGGTACATTAGTGGTCAACCCGACATCTGTTACAGTTCAACTTAGGCAAAGGTAAGGTACTTTCCATACGACACCAAAGTACTATTTCTACAGGCTAGGAACGAAAGTACTGCAGTGACCATCCGTTGAACGGGAACTTGGTGTGCTGGTTTAGGATAACTTGGGTAATTGCAAACGATCAGCAAAGGCATTGAAGTATGGCAACCAAACACATCGGCTTGCTACGACGGGCGTTCAGACAGACACATCTAATGTCAGCTAGATGCTCAATGCCCCCCATGTCGAACGTACAATGCAAGTGTGGCAGGTATGGCTGAAGTACGACCTTACTGCACTGGACCAACCTCAAGGTCAGACTTCCAAACACGTCATTGGAATGCGAGACTTTCCAAACGAGTAGAGACTGAAATGTTTTGGAGTGTTCAGTGGAAGTTGTCGCCAACTACGAAGCGATTTACTAAAGGTAAACTTGAGTTTACACAATCTAAATCTTATGTGCAACTCTTTACTGCAAGTCAGCAATAAAACCAAATTTAAAGGCCACTCCTTGAAATTAGCATAACAGTACAGCCGTCTGGAGTGCCGTTACAAATTCTTTTCCCTTTGCGTGTGTCAACCGTAGAACGCTCTTCCGGAATCGGTAGTTGTGCCCCTACATCAGCCATATCCAAAAGCCGGTTGGATGATACAATCTGAATCTTACATTTTGTTCGTTGACACTACTCTCCATCCAACTATCGGGAAGTACCTTGGATTTATTTTTCCACGCATTGAAGCTATGGACGCAACCGGAGTGCAGAGCTATTCCATTACATAGGCCCATTCTTTTGACACTAGAAGTATTAACCGCAGTTTTTTATTAACTTCATTGATAACGCACCAGACGACTAAACGAGGATTGCAAAACAGTGCTACTTTTTCTATGTAGAGTCATTGATCATTGTTCATTCCGTTTTCAACGTCAGATAAATGTGAGAGTCCGCATTGTCATGTCCGACCCAAAGGAATTCCAGTGTGCTGTACCCCAAGCATCGGTAATTAGACCATATTTATTCTCAATCTTCAGCAACCATCTCGCTAGCGTACTCCGACCAGACTCTCTACTATTTGCAAATCATGTCAATATCTGGAACGACATTAATGCAGTGGAAATTCACACAGCACTGCAGCGAGTTCTCCATGGGGCATATACGAAGTCATCCGAAAACCGACTCCAGTTCAACTACTCGAAATGCAGTATCGTGAGCACACGCCATCAGCGTGCCTATGAATCTCAAATCGCGGGTCAGCAGTTGCGAATTCTTTCCAAGGAAAGCCATCTCGGAGTAGGATGCTTCGGTGTAATATGGCATGATGATCTTGGTTGCTCGAGACATGCCGCAAAGACATCAAGTAGTGCTCGCCGACGCCTTTGACTCTTACGGAGGGCCATAGGAAATTTCGAACCATTTATCTTTTCCCAACTGCTGCACGACTCCATGCCGCCCAATTTGCAATACGCGATTCAAGTTTGGCGTCTCTCCTGCAAACAAGATATTGATACTCTTGAAGCTGCACAACGTAGAGCGGCAAATTCCTTAGTGGTTCGTTTTGCCTCCTCTAACAATGCTGATTGCAAGCGCTGGGACTGTAAGGCGGTAAAAGTTGGCGTTGGGAAGCAGATCTCATCATGGCTTATACAATACTGGCGAATCCTTGTTGCGCCTGTCATGATCCGTTGCAAATTAGCCACAATACTAATCTGAGAATTCACCAACTCAAACAGAACACTACTACAGTCGAGGTGATTGCCGACAAAATGTTTTATCCCTTCAGATATGCTGAGCCTGTAGAGCGCTTCCATCAAGTCACTTTGCCCCACATCAAATGATGACTTGACTATACCAGCCCATTTACATTAGGTAAATAGTCCGTTCCAATCGGAGAGCGAAATGACGCGAACTAGGGTGTTCACAAGCCCACTGCGTAACTCAGCGGTGGGGAGACCAGCAGATGTGTTCATGTGAATAATTTGCTGAGTCGCTTAATAGCCGAATTTCTCTTTTTCCTTTTGTTGTATACAAGCCTTTAGTAAGCCACACTGCGGCCATCTCACGGGACTTGTTATGTAATCGCTTTTCTGGCTTACATATTATTTTTCACCTTTGTTTTTTACTGGGCCGGTAAAGCAAGGTTCTATTTTAAGCTTAATTGCTTGAGATGGAAGTTCATATAGAAAATGTTGCAAGATATATATATATATATATATATATATATATATATATATATATATATATATATATAGGTATGCCATGATGTTTACACTGATGTCAACCGCGTGCACCGAGAAAGCACGCCATCCGCTATTTGATCTTTCGTCCTGAATGGCTTTTAACTTATGAGATTGTGCTCACCTTATTTTCGGCACTTATGGGACATAGTAGTATCATATCAAGTGGATAAATTCATCTTAGTTTTTCTTGAAACTGAAGATTATTCTACGTTCTTGTGTATCTTCTGTTCATCATTTACTTTTAAAATCCAGAGTGCTTGCTGAAGGTGCGCAGCAAATATGTTCATCGCCAATAATTGGAAGATTTTAACTAATTCCTGACCATTTCGAGTAGACGTAACCGTGGTTGCTCGGTAAGTTATAAACCGGTTGCAATACTTGTCAGTGGTTAAGTAATAGGTTCCGAAGCTGCCCGTGAAGTGTATTCGGATGGGTGAACAGGTGGATATCAAGAGATCCCGAGTGACATGACCGATTTCAAGGTTAATGCTGAATTTTTCTAAATAATGGGAGATAGTTAATCAAAATATCAACCGCATTCATTAAGTTGCGTCTTTGGATACGGTCAAACGTACCCCTGATAACTGGATTGCTTAATTCTGATTGCAGTATCCTCAATAGGATGCCACCAGGATTAATCCTGCATGTGGACGTACGGTTTATATAGCAAGCGCTTTTCTTTTTGAGGATCTTAACTGTCTACTATGATAGTAAGTGCGAAGGCGATGCGGCATCACTTACCTGTTCATCTTTGCCCACAATATTGAGAAATCCGAGGGTTGGATCGTACGTCAAATTCACCAGTGATACACTGATTGGTGATTGGAGTTTCCCACGATGGCACGCCGGCCATACATCTTCAGCGTACGCCATGTAGGCGGTATGGCCCCAGTGACTTGGTCCTGTGGGTTTGGGCGTATTTTATAGTTATGGCGGTGAATATATGCAATTTTGAAAGCATAAAATGTGTGATCCATACAAGAAAGTCATTACACACGGAGAGAAGCAATACTCGTCTTGGTAAAAATACGAGCACACAATTAAACTAAAGCACCCAAATAAGTAATGTGTCATGCAAAATGTTGGGTACCATCATCAGGCTGCTAATTGGTCTGCGAGCAGTCCTATGATGATTTTTGCTTCATATATGCTAAGCTTAGCAGTGTGAGATGAGAACTTGATGCAAGTTTCTGTCGAGATTTCATGCGCCTTTTACACCTAATCAAGCAGTTGCGCTAACTTTTATATGGTCTTCCGCCTGTTTTACTACTGCAAACTCAAGGGTATCTGAACCGTTAACATGTAGGTGGATAAAGAATGGGATTGCATTTCCAGTCGCAGCTACCAGCGTCCAAACTGCGTCCAGTGAACTCTGAGGCAATAAGTCAGCTGAACAGGAATGATAGCAGCTTCATTTTGTCTGACGATATGTATACTTATGTACTAGAATGCTAGTGGAGTTCTGAAGTGTCTCACTGGTCCTCAACTTTTGAGAACAGTGACATCCTTTTATCGAAGGATCCGGTAGGATCTTTTCTAATGGTACTAACATGAACTCTGTAAACTGCGGCACCATGTCGGAGTATTATTTCTTCTTTTCAAACAATTGTGTTCGTGGATGGAATGCTGAAATTCGGTAACAATTCTTTGGTACGTTTCTCCTAGTTTCAGTTACTTGATTTGTATAGTAACAAATGGATATGCGTTTCTCCATCTTGATCGACTTGTGTGCGTCGAGAATTCGCTTGAATTCTTCTGTAATTTCTCTTCAGCCTATACGGCGTTATATACATGAGAAATGTACTTGATTAGGTATTCCGTGTTTGGTTAATAGTAATTGGCACAGAACGTAATACTAAGTCAAAGAAGCCACTGATTCCGTCGTCTGGAGTTAGTGTGCAATACTGGAGCAATTTTCGGTTTTTGCTACGAGAATGGAACCGAGACCCATTAGACTAAGCTGGAGGTTATGGTGAATCATGTCCGCGGAGCGGATATCGTGGAAGAACAGTCGAGCCCAACATTTTCCTTGACGTCCGAGAATTCGCCTCAGCCTACTCCAGCTATTCCAACAAACAAAAGGCAAATTCTAATTAGGAAATAATTCGCTGGTGTTACCTGTGTAATGCACCAAAAATTTGTTTGATTCATTCATGGTCCCTGTGATCGAACTGAGTCGGATTAGTTTCAAAGCAAATAGCTGTCTATTTTGACAATGTGTGCCATATTTCGCTTGAAATGGTGAGGTTTTACAATAAACGTACAATATAACAACGCGATAGCACTGAACCCACTCGGAGTATTCAACCGCCAGCGCATTACAAGATCCTTTCTTGCTATAGAGTTAGGCGATTTTAAATCACCTCGACCAGAAAGGAAAAATGTTCTGTAGCCATATTGGTTATCTAAAGGTACTGCTAACATCTTGTGCTCCGTTTCTCAAGCGTCACATTTCAGCCGTACAGAGTAGTCGAATCTCTACACCTGTGACACGGTTATTTCTCTTGTGGCAACTCTAATATCCGTCCCACTTCGTCACATTGCAATTGGACAGATGAATTTCATTTCCATTCTTGTGACACCTTAATTATTCTCGAGTTGCAGTGACTTCGAAGTAACCAGATCAAGTGTCGGTGCGCACCGTGGCACTACTCTCGCCTTCAAGAAACCCACTGATATCCTGACAATTCAACAATCTGTGCTTACCGACATTCACAACATAATGACCTCAGGAAACTTTGAGTTGAGGCAAACTAAGTGAATAGTTGGGACACAGGTGGAATTGGTCGAGATGTGCTAGCGTCTGGCACAGGTGATTAAGAGAAAAATAAATTGGAAAACATCGTACGAATTGTATTTTCACATACAAACTTGTTAATCCGCGCATACCTCGGACAGGAAATGATCGGAACACGTCAGGCTATGTTGGTGACAGATACCTTGCAGTTAACACTACGCCGCATTATCACACTTTGACCTCGGTCACCTGCAAAGCCCTACCTCGTAATCTGGAGCCTGCAGATACATTGTCCAGTAACGACAAGTCATCACTGTTCTGTGTCTTATTTTTGTATTGCCTTAGTAACATTAGTTAGTAACCCTAATAACCTTAGTTAGTTATTTTCCTGTTTGTCTGCTCATTGTTTCTGTTAGCTCATCTGATTTAGGTCACTGGTGTATTTCATATGTGCACTTAAACATTTCGGAACCACCAAGGACTTCGGATATCACGCTAGCACAGTCACTTGAGAGACATCAGAAGTACGCCGGTGCGCCCCGCCGACATTTCTTTGCGAGGCAGCTACCAGCAGTAGCGCGTAGGCTAAGGATATTGAGAGGGTCTCCCCGTCCTCTGCACAGGCTCGAACCCGCTACATCCGGGTTGCAATGCAGGCGCCTTGTCCCTTCGGTCACGCACGCGCATGTACTTGCGAACTCTTACAGTACTGGGGATAAGTTTACCAGCGACGCACCCAATAAGACACTTCATCAAAATCTTGATGCTTTATTTTTTCTACCAATTTTAGCTTTTTGAGTAGTACCATTGTCTAGTCGGGATGAAGCCAAGTTAGCTTTGCATAGGACGCAGATAGCAAATCGTTTATAGGGAAATACGCGTAAACGGTTAAGTCTTTCCGAACTGAGGACGTAAGTATGCTAATTCAGCATTGTTAAACTAATCGTTCGTTCTCTGCTTGCATTGCGTAGCTTCATCATCATCATCATACACGTTAGCTGGAGGTTGGGAACACCTCAGCTACTGTGCCGCAATACATAGAAAAAAGGAGAAAAAAATTGCAACTGGTGCAAGCCGGCTGAGATACCAGTAAGGGATGGCCCTCGTTCCAGTGCGCTAATAGCCGGTTACTGTGCATCAAAAAAAATCCTATGCAAAATTATATAAGGCTAAGTATTGAGATCGTGGTTGGAGGGGGAGGCTAAGAAGGATGGGGTGAGACACAGGAACTCACAGCACGAACGCCACTGAGGTCGGCCCCTAGCCATATCAGCAAGTGTGTCCAACCAAACGTGTTCATCGTCCTTCGGACCCCAACCAGGGAGCCGAGACGCTCCAACCGAGGCCAGTTCAGAAGTGAGGGCCTTCATTCCTCTCGACCAAGTCATCGCTTGGCCACTCCTCCTCTTCTTCCATCCATACCCCGGCGCGCAAACAACGCAGGTCATGGGAGTCGGTGGGCTGGCATGCGTAACACGTAGCCAAGCCTGGTGCGTGAAATGACGGTGCTGAGCGGTTCATTTCCTTTTCCTGCGCCATAAACAAGGCGTCGAACACGCTAATTGCTCAAGCGGTGTTCCCACCAGATGTGAGCTAAATTACGAAGGCACCGATGATCGAATGTAACTAGCCTCTTCAGGTCCGTTGCTTTAAGAGGCCAGGTTTCACAACCGTACAGTAGGATCGAACGTACCGCTGCATGGTACACTCTGCCCTTCAAGGCAAGAGTGATGCCGCCCCGGCGCCATAAGTGGTGAAGGTTAGCAAAAGCGCCCCGAGCTTTTGTTATACGGATCGTGATCTCATCCTCAATCCCACGGGCGTTGATATAACTTCCCAGGTAGTTGAATTTTTGAACGACTTCTAGCTGGTCCCCACCAAGGGTCAGTGTAGGAGGAGTTCCAGACCAATCTTGGAGGATCGCTTTGCACTTCGACGGTGCGAAGCAAAGCCCGAAGTGACGGACAGCTAATGCTAATCTGTCCAGTGCCGCTTGGCACGTTTGTGAGCTGTCACAGATTAGGGCAAAATCATCGGCATACTCTAAGTCAAGAAGTCGTTCTTTCTGGTAGCAGATCCACACCTTCATAGTCGTGTCCTGTGAACGCGATTTCCATGGCTTCATCAACAGCGAAGTTAAAGAGGAAAGGTGACAGCGGGCACACTAATCTCACACCGCTGGAGATATTAAAGGGCGACGACAACTTGCCGTAGGCCCTCACTCTGCCCGAGCTACGCGCATATAATGCTCGCATAATATTTACATATTTCTCAAGTACACCTTTCCTGAGTCTTGCGTGGCTTGATTTGGTTAAAATCTGCCTGTATCGCTACTAGTTCTGAGGGGTGGAACAAACATATCCACTAACCGAATGATCGAATGCCTCGCATCATGTTAGAATCTGTAGCCGGAAATCAGAGATCACCTTGCATTCTCGGTGAGACAACTTCAACTTCATGCATTAGCACATAACGCATGTACAAAACCCATACTACATGCGTAACATAACCCTAATAACAATCATCTGGGAAACAGGTGATCGCTTACATGCTATTTTGCCACACCGGGACATAGCCAGTTGGAGCACGGAAGTGCGAGTGAAACACATCGAGGGATTAACTCACATGGAAGCAGGTTTCTTGGGAACGGTTCCATAGACGGTCGTATTACTTTAATTGCACTTTTGGCTGAATCTTTAGTTGTTACTGCTCCCAGTTACTTATTCTCTCTAATGCTATCAAACAGCCATTCCGTTCAGAAACCCATATGGGACCTGTTGTACACTACATGAACAGTCAACTATTTTATGCGATCCTGATGTACAAATTGATCAATCCACACAGTTGGATTATGCCTTGCACCGTCGAGGAATAAAATTTTATTTATTTTTTTAGTTACTCATCAGTTAGGGCTGACATTTGGCAGTGCATTCAACTTTAGTTTGATGCATGCAATAACAATGAAAGAGTACGCTTTGTTCTCTGTTCGGAGTACGCCATTGTCCAACCAGACAGTATGAAGTCTATACACCTAGAGTGCACGTACTTATAAAAATCCGCTTGCTATATTTTACCGACTGTTCAGTATATTCAATTGTTCTGTCCTTATGCTACACATTGCTGTGGTGTGTTACCAAACGTTCGAAATTATTCGATGAATGGCTT